AAAAGGGTATTTTAAAAATGGATAGTCAAAGGGGGCATTTTTGAAAAGGGACATTTTTGTGAGTCTCCCTTCTTTAATACTAATTGTTTTTCTTTTGTAGGACTAAGAGCACCTTCATCTGTGGGATGGAGGAGAATTTTTCATCAAAATTTATTAATTAAAAATGTATTAAATAAAAAGAGAAATAGTTTCTAAGAATTTAATTATTGAAAATAAATAAATAAGAAATAATTTAATTAAATATTAATAATTTTTTTTTAGAAACTCTCGTCATATCAGGGGATGGAGATGCTCTAATTAACTAGTAACTAGATCATCGCCCGTACTAAAGTACGGATTAAATTTTATTTATTACAAAATTTATATTATATATATATGTATATATATATATATATATATTAGAACTAAGTTTTAATATATTATAATAGTAAGTGAAAAAATATTAATTTTTTTGTCAGTCCCTATGTACAATGTTAGAATAAATATAGAATTTTTTCTATAATACTCAATTATGGATAATTGTTTTTTTAAGATATGAAAACGGAAAATAATTTTATTTTTTAAAAAGTAATATTTTTTGAACAATGAGTTAATTTATGTTAACAACCACAAAATAGGATTGCATATATTTCAGTTAGATCAAAAATTAAAATATCATAAATAAAGCTGTATTTTGAATTAATTAAAAAAAAATAGGTATTATTTTGAATTAAGTTAGAAAATTCTTTTTCAATTCATAATTCTTTGGTTATTGAAATATAGATTTGTTTGAGCTAATCTAATTACAGAATTTGTTTGAAATTTATAATTACGGAACTTACCAATTATTCGCATAATCGAATATGTTATAAACATATATTTAGTATATAATAATACCAAAATCAACCTGTGCGTGGAATCTATATTTTTATTTTAGAATCTCAATATTTTATTTTAAAATATTGTGTGCACAATCTATTATTCGTTAATTCTAAAATTGATTGCGGAATCAAATTTTCAAATATTTAGAGGTGTCAAACTATATTTAAATGTTCTACACTATTTTTAAATATTCCATATTAAAATATTTAAATTTTTTTGTAGTTTATAAAATTATGAATTTCAAAAAAAAAATTATATGAAATTAAATATAACTATTCAAATAGTTATAAGGATCAAAAATTATTTCATCATATAATATATTATATTTAACCCGCTACTTATTATAAATATTTTTAAAAATAATCAAATTAGAGTATTTATAATTTTTAACTTTTTGAACTATTAAGTATTGATGGTATTCTCTAAAAATATCTATATAACCAGCTCCGTTTCCGGCCTGGGTAAATTAATGAATCTAGGCCCAAAGCCATTGAGATAAATGAATGATTTATTTTTGAAAATAAAACTTTTTGACTACTCAAAAAAAAAAAGAGTCCCTTTCGTGAACTACTAAGTTCGATGTGTGTATAAGCATAAGCACATTATCTTTCAATGTTTTTTTTTGTTCAACATCTTTCAATGTTTAAATTTACTAGAATTTAGTTTGGTGGAACCCACACTCTACCTTATAATTAAGCTTCTAAATTTATTAATTTTTCATTTTGTTGATAATTTTTTTTATAACAGTTTATGAATTTGATAGTTGGGGATATAACACAAATGAATATACATACATTTATGGTTCAAGCAAGAAAATAATGTGATTGTATCAACACATGTATATCTATGGGGGCCACGTGGTCGTGGAAGATAAGTTTAGTTTAAAGATGTTTTTGGTTTTTATGCAAAAGTGAGTGTTTACTTATTAACAATTGATCAAAGTTTTGGTCGTCGTTAAAGATCAATTACTACACATGTAACGGTTCTGCGACACGTTGTTGTATGCTAATTCGGATCCAACATTACTAAAATAGTTTATTTCTTCCTAAATGGTAAAGCAGTATATTTTGATTGGGGGAAACAATATATAAAGCTTTGCATCAACATATGTATTTTTTTTTCCTTTGTGTTTGGCTCTATGAATTGAATTGTTTTCTTGATATCTGATTTTTCTTGGAAGTAATATATTCAGAAAAATTGTTATAATTTATTAGAGAGATGGGGAAATAAAAAAGTTGAGGGAGAGATGTCATTAGGAAGACGAATGAGAGAAATGAAAAAGCGTGGAAGGAGCAAACTGAATCAAAAATGAAAAAAACAAACTATTGTGTCCCACTTTTCACCACTCGTTAACGCGTCTCGTCGTCTCTTAAGATGACTTTTCTATTTGTTATTAGCTTCAACCACATTTATTTCATGTAACAAAAACTATGTTAGCTTCTTTTCTAAAAAAGAATCCAACGATAATGTTTAAATTATTTTTTTGGTGATTTTAACTTTTTTTAAGAATAACAGAATTATAATTTCACGACAATAAAAATGTAGAATTTTAATTTATATTCACTTAATTTTGATAATTTTTTTTTAACGGCAAAACAATCATATTATATCACAAATGTGTTACATGGTACATGATACATAAAACCACAACAATACAACCAGTGAACCAAATAAAGGAAATTGAACACAATTTCGATGAAGAAGCGGAAGTAACCCTGCTTTCCAAACGGAAGCCTTACAGGCAAGAGATGACATTTGCTTTCAAATTAAGTTACAAAAGACGTGAACTTAATTTTGATAATAATATTACGACAGTATACAATGATATTTAGAAAAGATTAGTTGGATTGTGAAAACCTCTGATCACTTATAATTGAAAAAAAAAATGATATAGATTAGTGAAAGTAGTTCAATTATATATTTAATATTTATTTTTACCATTTACACGATGTTTTTTTGCATAAAAATCCTTGATTCTCAATTTACTAAGTAATCTCTCAATTTAATAAAAAAATGTAACAACATGTTTTTTTGGTCATTAAACTCTGATTTAGTATTGAAATTTCATAAAACATTATAAAAGGTAAAAAAAATTAATCTATCATGCAAGATTATGAAATTATTGATGATTTTTTTTCTTGTTGTTGTGAAAGAATGAGGGGTGTGATTTAGTAAACAACAAGAAATGTGTCTTTTGGTGTGGCGTATAAAGAAAGATGAAGAGAAATAAAAAAAAAAATATTAGGGAGAGGTGCAATGAAGAAGAAGAGTGCAGCAGAGAAGCAAGTGCCGCCAATCTCTTTCCCTTGTCTCCTCCTCCTCTTACCACACCTATCGAGACACCATTCTTTCTCTCTCTATATATCAACTTTTCTTTTTTCGAGAAATAATAATTATTTATTCTCTTTTTTTGTTTTCTTTTGTTATCGATATGATGCGTTTCGAATTTGAATTGCTAATTTGTTCTACAAATTATTTCTAAGTTTAAATAACGAATTTGAATTAAAAAGTGTTACCAAGATGCACAAAGAAGACAATAGGACTTTATTCACCTTTTACAATAGTTTAATCTCTAGATCACATACACGAATAACCATTGTACCTTAGGATATATCATAATTGAAGAAAAAAAAAGGATATATCATAATTGAAGAAAAAAAAAAGGATATATCATAATTGAAGAAAAAAAAAGGATATATCATAATATGTTCGGGGTTTAAGTAGAGAACGGAGAAAAAAACCATTGTACCTTAGGATATATCATAATTGAAGAAAAAAAAAAGGATATATCATAATATGTTCGGGGTTTAAAATGTTCATAGTCTAGAGGTAAAGTTTACAGATTATCACTTCTCATTTCAGGAGTTCGATTCCTATCTTTGTTGATAGTGTTAATGAACAAGGATCAACCTCTATAGACAAAAAAAAAACAAAAGTTTTGAATGGTTGATAAAGATAGAACTTCTTAGACTTCTTTTTGATGTTAATGAACAAGGATCAACATGTATTAGACTTCTTTTTGTTTACCAAATACCATTCATAATAAATTATACTCCCTCTGTTCATAATAGTTTGATGTTTTGGAGTTGTCACACATATTAAGAACTCAATCATTCTTTTATCATTTTAATATTGTTTTTTAAGTTTAAATATTTTTAATAATTATCAATCAATAGTAGTCTAAGAAAATTAATGATTTATAATTATTGTATCTTGAAGTTTACAATTTACTATTATAAGTGAAATAAAATTGCTAAAAAATCAATCTTTGTGGAACAAACAACAAAAGCTAAAACGTTAACCTTTTAAGAACATAAGGAATAATTTATAGTGGTACAAACTGAAAAAACAAAAACGAAATGAGATATTACAAACCAACTACAAATCATTTTATCTAAAACTACTTTGCAAGGTTTTGATTTTCAGTTTATAAGTTTTCATTAACCAAGGATACAAATCTTGGATGAGATATACTTTTATTTGGGTTAGTGATGCAGCTGCAAAACCAAGCGGAACCATCAATCGGACCATTGAACTAGACAAGATTTTGAAACGGAAAATACATGAAGTAATCGATTAATGTCTCATGTTTCTTTTAAATTATGTTATTTGTTCAGTTATGAATAAGAGGAGAATTGGTCTTCCTTCTGCTAGGAACAACCTCCTAATGTTTCATACATTTTTCTTTTTTCAAGATAACTAATTTTCAAAACTTTTTTTTTTTATTATTAATTTTCAAAACTAATATTAACGAGTTTTTTTTGTTCTCATTTTTTAATTTCGCCAATAATATTGTAACTGGAAGACTAATATTTTGGTTAGAAAATAAATGAAAAGGTGATTCACCACCAATTTAGCTTGACACTAATGGTTTATAATCTCTAATTTTCGGTTGATATAAACAAAAACAAAAACAAAAAAAAAACAAGAAAAAAACGAAAAGAAAAGAAGAGCAAAATGATAAGAAACCGAGTTGGTCGGTCTTGTGGGGCGGGCGTGAAGAGAATTCGAGCGAGAAAAAAAAAAAAAAAAAAACTATTCCAACCAATTTTACAAATTTAAATTCCTTAAAAAAATTCAAAATATCACAATTTTATTCATCAAATTTTTTGAATTTTAATTAATAAAAAAAAAAGAAGAAGAGGAAGAGCTTTTTGTGTTGAAGAGAGAGCTTCCTATCTTCCCCATTCCTCCCACCATCTCCCTCATCTTCTTCTTCTTCCTTTCTCTCTCTCAATAATCTCTCTCAGATCCTTTCTCCATTACCATTACTTCTGGCTTTCTCTTAAATCCGCTATCATGAGGAGAGGAAGAGGCTCTTCCGCCGTCGCCGGACCTACCGCCGTTGCCGCCATCACCGGCACCGTCATCAACGGATCTGTTAAAGAAACACGATTCAGAGGCGTTAGGAAGAGACCTTGGGGACGTTTCGCAGCTGAGATCCGTGATCCATGGAAAAAAGCTCGTGTCTGGTTAGGTACTTTCGATTCCGCCGTCGAAGCTGCACGCGCTTACGACTCCGCCGCTCGTAACCTCCGTGGTCCTAAAGCCAAAACTAATTTCCCGATCGATTGTTCTTCTCCTTCTCCTCAACAACGATTTAATCAGATTCAAAATCAAAATCAAAATCAAGTCGATCCGTTTATGGACCACCGGTTATACGCCGACCATCAACAACAGTTTCCGATTGTTAACCGGCCGACTAGTAGCAGCATGAGCAGCACCGTTGAATCGTTTAGCGGGCCGAGACCTACGACGATGAAACCAGCGACGACGAAGAGATATCCCAGAACTCCACCGGTTGTACCGGAGGATTGTCACAGCGATTGCGATTCGTCGTCGTCTGTAATCGTCGACGACGACGATATCGCATCGTCATCGCGGCGACGGAATCCACCGTTTCAATTCGATCTAAATTTTCCACCGTTGGATGATGTTGACTTGTTCAATGGCTCTGATGATCTTCACTGTACCGATCTACGTCTCTAATGAATTGGTAAATCGAGAACCAAGTCACAGATCCGTGATCGATTTGATTTTAATGGAGCAAACAACAAAAATCCCTTTTTTTTTTTTTTTTTAAATTTTCTGTTTCGTTGATCTCATATAATTTTTACTATGCGGGAGAAATAGAAAGACAAAGAAACGAAGAAGAAGAAGATGGTGATGAGCTTGAGAGCTTGAGCTGGTTCTGTGTTTCTTCTGTGATGATATTGTAAGAGTATTATTATTATTATTATTTACTACATCTTCAAAATCAAGAAGAGGAAGACCGAACACGATGATCTGTTGTGTCTGTTTGTTTTACTCTAAGAAAAAGCAGATCTGGGTTTCGTTTTTTCTTGAGATAGAATCTTTGTAACATATACATTTGGAACACTGATGATTCTAAATAAAATCTAGAATCTTTTTTTTTTATTTTAGATCTTCATCTTCTTTGAGTTATGCATTTTTCACATTATTATGGCTTTGGTTCGAATTAATAATTGATGATGGGTTTTGTTCAAAGATCGGTTCTTGTTTAGAATCATGGATGTCTTGAAGTTTCTTACCATCTGGTGAATAAAGCTAGATAAAAAAGATAAAGATAAGTGAAGCTCGTTGAGAAAACTGTTCACATGTATTGAATTTGAACAAGTTTTCTTCCTTAATGAGTGATTTGGTTAATTAGAGATTTAAGATTTTTGGGTAATTCTTAAAAATGATGTACATCTTATAATTTCAAAAGTAAAAATTCAAGATGATTATTTTAGCTTAGTAAAGCTTGTTAAAAGTTCTAGTGTTGTGATATTTTCTGAAGTAAAACTTGTTATTTAGTTATTAAAGGGTATGCTAGATCTTATGTTTTCCAGGATTATTTACCAAACTCTTAGAATTTTAAAAATTTAGTAAAAGTTGTTAGAAGTTTTCAAAACGTCTCTTAAACCTAAAAATTGTGGTGTTGCTGAAAGTCTTTTTTGGTGATATTTTCTGAATTAAAACTAAATTTATTTTAGGTATTAAAAGGGTAATTTTCTAGCTTTTGGATTTTGATAAATAAATTTTTAGGTAATTGAGACAATTGTTTTGGTTGAGTTTGGTGGGCAATTGATAATAAATCTTTGAGAGGTGTATGGTGGCAGGCAGATTCGTTTCGTGTTTGACCCATTAGATTAGATTTTGTGTTCGGCGTTACCCTCAAATTCGGGTATCTTACTTTACTTTTTCTGTCACCTTTGAGACACTATTAAACGACCATTGGGTCCTAACCAAACCCACAAGTTTATTTTTACTGTTATCCAAAATTACTTCTTCTGTTGAATCATGTTAGATATAAAACAAAGTTTACTAGTGTAAAATGATAGAACATTTACATAAAAAATAATGTGATGTAATTGCAGCTATTTTACTTAGGGGTGGGCATTTAAACCGAACCGACCCAACCCAACCGAACTCAAACCGACCTAGACCGAACCCTAGCTTAGACTCAAACCATTCGGTTGGGTTTATTCTCAACCCAAATGGGTCGGTTCGGTTCGGTTTAAAACCAAACCGAACTGATAACCCAATGTGTTTATTTGATTAATTAGTTAATTATATTAATATTATTATGAATAACTAAATATGTGTTTATTCTTAATTTTATAATAATTTGAATAAATGTAAATTAGATTTAATTATCTCTAAAACTCTAACCCTAAAAAACTTAGAGTTCTCCTTCTAACTTATAAAGAGTAAAACTCAAAAGACTTTCATATTTCATTCTATGTTCTTTCATATTTTTGTTTTGTTATATTAATTAATTTTTTGAACCGAACTCAAACCGAACCGAAGTAAAACCGAACCGAACCAAACCGAACCAAACATAAACTAACCCAAACACAAACCGAATCAAACTAACTTCGGTTGAGTTTGGTTAGAGTTTTACGAAACCCAAATAAACCGAACCGAACCGAACCCAAACCGAACCCGAAGTTAAACCGAAATGCCCACCCCTAATTTTACTAGAGATAAAATCATAGAACACTTTTTGTTCAAAAAAACATATAGAATATTTAAGGGAAAATATGTGAGGTAATTTGCAGGAATTTTGCAAACCTTTGTTATTACTAAGGGGGGTGTATTGAAATATGAATTTTAGAAGAGTTTTGTTTTTTCTATAAATCTCCTGTTATTCAACTTATAATTTTTAGTTGCCTTTCAAAATCCTATGTTATTGAAAATGAAATTTATGTAAAATCATTCAAAATCATTTAAAATCCCTTGTTATTCAATCAATGATTAGTAAAATTCATATCAAATCCACTGTTATTCAAAAATTAACAAGAATTTTAAGAAAGGATTTTTAAAAAGATTGTAGGAGACTTTACATACATTTTTAGTTGAAAATAGAGGTCAAGAAAATCACACCTATAGAGGTGGGAGACTTCACATAAATTTTAAAATAACGTTTATGTAAAAAATTGCTGAAAAGTGAAAACAAAAGCCTCCATGTATCTTCTTCTTCTCCTCCACATGGCTTTGACTACTTCTCTGTTTTCAATGATCGATTCATCGCTTAGTTCTTTTTTTTTTCTTTGTGTCTAAAAGCAATAGTTTGTAAATTATCTAGGGGATTGATTGAAGATTCTAATCCATGGAATTTTTTTTGCGGAAGACGACGATGCCATGAGCTTACACATCTTAAAGGAAGATCTTTTCTCTAATCTTTGATCTTCTTCATATTTGAGGATAACAACGACATGTGATTATGAATTGACGATAGATATGGTTGAACGACCTCCATCGTAAATATGCCAAATTGAAGAAGGAACTAATTTGGGGTTGCGATTCTTTGTGTCAGGTCAGACCATGATAGTTAACGAAACCATTATGTAGGTAAGGAGAGGAAGGATGTGAAAGAGAAGGAGGTGGAAAATATGGGGTGCGAGAACCGATCGACGGTGGAAATGCTGCTCGTCACATATTCTTCACATGAACATCGACATCCATGATTAAAAAGAGGGTTGAGTACATTCTAGTGGTATGGTGGTCATGTAGATAAAGCTTGAGCCATGAATTAAGAGCACAACATGACATATACAAACTTAAGTTCAAGACGGAAGTGTTGCTATAAATCAAGAGTTGCATGTTTAATTGTTCATCGGAGAATCTTGTGATTGATTTTCTGTTTTCTCTCTCAAGTCTTTAACGCATGCAGTTTCGTTCCTACTAGCTATAAGAGTGGGGTTGGATGCTTCGCTTAGGCGAATATGTTTGAAAGTTTGAACTTTGCTATTGATGGTATTTATGGTGATATTAGCCATCGTGACTTTATGACAATGAGGTGTTTACCTAAGCCCTATCTTTGTTCAAAATTTCCAATAAAGATAATATCATGAGATAATGGAAACCATGTGATCAAGCTGACACAGAAGATTGATAAGCCACTGAATGTGTATATAATGAATGTGACACGGAAGATTGATAAGCCACACGTGAGAGAAGAAGCTGGAAGAAACTAATGTTGGCACGTTTGAATAATGACTCGTATATAAGAATAGTTTTCTCATTTGTTAGGTTTTATGCATTGTTTGTTGTATAAAGTGACATATGTGTTACTTGTGAGAGAGAGAGCTTATGAATCAGTGATGTGCTCATGGTTCTTCTCATAAACGGTGTATCGATTAATTGATTGTTAATAAGAATACAGTTTTTTACTTAACAAATGATCGACTTGAGTTATGGAGGTAACGAGAGAAAAATTATCACACACAACACCAAGATCATCTATAATGATAAATCTCACCAAATTACTAAACTTTTTTTTGTAATTATAGAAAAGTCTATACTTACAATGACAAAGGATTTTGGATTTTGGATTAAATCACCTATAATTTCCTTAAATCCTACTAATATTCCTCCAAATCTAAACTCCACCAAATCATACCAAATGTTTAGTCCAATACAGCCCCCTAAATATTTGTGGAATTTCAGATTTGATTATTTCATCCCACCATTGTGTGGATTAACAATCAAAACTTTACTTTGGTATAGGAGACTAGGATTTATTCGACAATATGCTGCAAAACAATTTTTTCACACAGTCTTAACTAAATTAATTTGATTCAACATATTTGTGGTGTTGACAAAATAATAAAATAAAGATTTAATTTGTATTGTAACGTTGGGTAAATAGTATTTAAATTCAGATTAATGTCGATCTAAACTTTTTCTGCCATATAATCCGTTATGTGATTTTTTTTTATAAGTTTATATATATCGATAACAATAATTTAACACATTTTGTAAGTTAGCTTTTAACTTTCACTCTAGAATATATTTTTTTAATTTTAGTAATATTATAAAACACTAATAATACCGATATTTACGGATCAGGTAATAAACCGGGTAACGAGTCGGAGTAAGACATGTATTAAAAAGAGATAATTGGGTGAGAGACGCTATTTTTTGAAGTATTTAAATTTTCGGTGTTAGGCCATATAACCCAAGACATTGATAATAATTAGTCATCCTTTTTTCCGATTTTAGCCTAACTCGCCTCTTTCCTTTATGAAAACAATCGGTCCAACATTTCTGCAACATCTCGCTTCTTTCGTGTGTTCTTTCGGAGATTCTTGAGTCTAATGAAATCTTTGGTCGATTTATGTTGTTTTTGTGCTTCTAGTCACCGGCGTTGGTTTTAAATCTACTGTTTCTCCGTCGTTTGCAACAAATCCTAACTATCTATATTTGTCGTTTCTTCTTCCCAGATCCACCTAGTTCTTTTACCTATTTTTTTAGATCCAGGTTAGATATTCACAAATCAACATAGATCTATAATTTCGTGTTTGCATATTCATAATTTTTCCGGGTGGTCTAATAACTTATGAAAATCTTTTTTTTTTTTCAGGAACATGTCGGATCTAGACCTTCCTGCTAGGTTATTCGTCGATCGTGAAGAACCTATGGGTGAGCGAGTTAACCAGTACTTCAAGCTACACACGATTAAAGCTGTCCTGAAGACTTTACAACCGACGGCTTGAATTGATTCGGCCGTGTTTTGGGAAATCGCTCGATGTCTACTCGAAGCTTGTCTTCTCCGGGAAATTGGTCCATTTCCTATTTTTTTCTCATGTTCATATCTCTCTCAACTCTGCTCTAATTCATTCAAACCGATAAGAAAAGCAGCGTCGTGTTAATTATTCACACCGTCAGTGTTTATTCATCGGAAAAGATAGTTGTTCTGATACAAATAAGAGTCTAAAATATTTTTTGGATCTTCACAAATAGATCTACAAACTATAGATACATATCTCTTGTTCATCTCTCTCTTTATTCTGTTCTAATTTATTCAACCGATAGAAAACAACGTCTTGTTTATTCTTCACACCGCCATTGCTTATTCATCGGAGAAGATAACTTTTACGGTAGAAATAAGGATCTAAAACATTTTTTGGAT